AGTTTTACCTAGACCCGAAGATTGAAGAAGCTCAGCGAAGAACACCCGCAGAGATTGCTCGAACTTGAGATCACCGAGACCCTAGCTCCTAAATTCACGAACTTAATAGGTTTTGAGGGAGATTGAAAAGATTAAAAAGGAAGATGAGGAGATTGAAGAACTCTTGTAGAGGAAGAAGTCTCGGTTGGGGAGAAATTCTGATGGAGGAGGAGTTCTCTTGAAGTTGGTAGAGGAGAAAGAAGAAAAGATGAAGAAAGAAGAAAGAAGATCAGGATTTAAGTCCCAAAATACCAAACAACTTCATGATGCAGGTCACCTTAAGGTGACCCGCACGAGTGCGGGTCACCTCAATGTGACCCGTACGTAGGGTTGGTCTCGTGCGGGTCACCTCAATGTGACCCGCACGTAGGGTTGGTCCGGCGGTTGTTTTCACGGTATTTTCACCCGTTTTCGCTCATTTTTGATGTATTCGACACCAGTATTCACACCCCGATGAGTATACGAGTATAAACTACATCTTCTTAAACCTCCAACAGGTACACGAGGTCAAACTAATTCCCGAAACTCCCAGGAGTATACGAGTATAAACTCATCCTCCCCGCTCTAACGCCTTAAGAGTCTAAACTGTGTAGACTCCAGTTAATGTATGAGTATAAACCGTGTTTATGCTGGTCAATGCATTGCGATGAAGGTTGACGCTGGTCAACACATTGCGATGAAGGTCAACGCTGATCAACGCGGTGTGATGAAGGTTAATGACGGTCAACGTGTAGCCTTGGGACAACGCCGGTCAACGCGTTGCGATGAAGGTCAATGCGTCGACAATTTTTGCCAAAATAGGGCTCAAATCAAGTCCGAGCCTCAGGACCATATGACACCTCCTATGTCGACTCGAAAGGCGAAACTAGTCGACACAAAGTCAGTCGACACGAAGTCTGACCAGGTGTCGACTCGAAAGGTGAAGCCAATCGACACGAAGCCTGACCAGACGAGTCAACACCTCCTGTGTCGACTCAAAAGGCGAAGCCAGTCGACATGAAGCCAATCGACACAAAGCCCAACCAGACGAGTCGACACCTCTTGTGTCGACTCGAAAGGCAAAGCCAGTCGACATGAAGCCTGACCAGATGAGTCGACACCTCCTGTGTCGACATGAAGCTAGTCGACATAAAGCCTGACCAGACGAGTCGGTACCTCTTATGTTGGCTCAAAAGGCGAAGCCAGTCGACACGAAGCCCGAATAGACGAGTCGACACCTCCTGTGTCGATTCAAAAGGTGAAGCCAGTCGACACGAAGCCAGTCGACATGAAGTCCGACCAGCTGACACGAAGCTCGACCAGACAAAATGACACCCCCTATGTTGACTCGACATCTCGACTAACCAGACGAGATGATGCCTAGTGTCGACATGAGAAGTGGTCTAAGTCGACACGCCCTGCGGTATCAGTCGACACGCCCTCTGATTCTTTAAGATTGTATGATAATTCTAAGGAGTTCAATCGTAATTCAGATACAAATCCCCGATGAAGGTAGTCAGTTCAACACCGACTCAATGACACAAGCTAAAATCAGGAATCAACATACCAATTTCAGTTCGAGACTTTGACAAACGGTCAGATGATAAACGTAGCGCCGGAAGAATTTCAGCTATTTGACAAAATACTGAATAGACTAAGAATTAGAGAAGTCAAGAACTAAAGCCAATCACAAGTCCTTTTACACCGACTGAAGGTTGGGCCTATCACATCCAAAGTATTTCAGGGTCTTCTATAAAAGAAACGAGTCTGGAACACTTTGGAGGGGATATCTATAGACGTCAAAAATTACCTATAGGTTCCCACACGTACCTCAAGACAGAGAGAAGACAATGAACATTGTTATTTGAGTCAAATAAAATTATTTGACGTTGACAAGCGCATGAAGCGAATCAACAAAGTGTACGAGTCAACAGAACGACAAAATACGTAAAACAGCGGAACAAGACAAGTCCGGAAAAGTCAAAAGGTGCAAGACGCCTTGGAATGACTCGCATGTGCGGGTCACCCTAAGGTGACCCGCACAGGGCCGTGTCACCTTAAGGTGACGCGTAAGCCAGCGGGTCACGTTGTACTGACTCGCATCTGAAACCTTCAAAACGTGTTTATAACTGTTTTCTCTGGATTTGTTCGTTCCAGAGCCTCCCAATTGCTTGGATATTATCCTTAAACGTGGTTAGGCTGTTGTTAACTAAAGATAATACCAAATCCTTTGTTCTTATCCAAAAACACTACAACCGAAGCTTATAAATACAAGCCTAGGGCTCCTATATTCATGGGATCTGAAATTCTATCAAAGAGGGCGAGGTGTTGTCGGTTTAGAGAGTGCAATCCACAAATTTTAGAGGAGGGCTAGCAGATCTTGGCGAATTCTAGCATAAAGAAGGAGTTATTCGAAAGATCTGAGGTCCGTGTCAGCATACCTTGAGATCAAACTTGGTTTTGATCTCGAAAAGAGTCATAATCTCGCTTGGTCGAGACCATCACTTTTGCGATTGTTTCCTTTGTGAAACAAGAGTATCAAATTTTTATTCTGTCAACCGGATCTGATTCACGATGGTTCACGGATAAACCCGGCACAGGCAAAGATCCCACGCAAGCAGCAGGCGATAAACATCTGCTGTGTGTGTTTGAAGAGAGTTGTAATTTTTATTTTATTTATGTAAGCGAGTAGTCTTATAAAAAGATTAACTCTTTTGAATTCATTGTAATCGATAAACAATTGTAATGGTTCTACAAATAAACCAACTTTCACCCCAAACAGAAGGAAAATACCTTCTTTAGATTATGAGAATCAATTGTTTACAAATCTCTCCTCACAATCTCTCTAGAATAAAGAACAAACCTCTCTATTCTCAAATCTCACGAATTTCTGCCTAGGGAATCCCCAAACAATAGGGTTTTAATATATACAAAACCCTAAAACCCAAACATGGTAGGAACCTGGAAATTCGGCCCAAACCGCTATCAGTCGACTGATGGATTTCATCAGTCGACTGATCACGCACAGTCGAAAACATGCACGACTCCATCAGTCAACTAATGAGCTCATCAGTCGACTGATTTGTGATCGGTCGACTCAGCAGATACTTTTTGATAACTGGAGCGGTTTTCGTCGGTCGACTAATTGAACCCGTCAGTCGACTGATGTGCTGGAAATTTGATTCTTTGCCCTTTTCGCTTCACGCTCCAACCCGAGCTTCGCCGTGTCTCTTCACGCCTCTATTCTTAAGCTATCATGAGAACCATTTATCATCAAGCTCCCATGAGGATCACTAAGTTTCGAAGAGAAGATACACTCGTATCAAAGTTTCTGGCCTATTTATCAGTTGGGCGTAAATCTGAATGGGCTTGGTTGGGTGGAAACTCAAATGGGTTTGACACTTACATTGTTAAATCAAAAAATAGGGTGGAGTGCAATTATTAGAACCTTAGGAGGGGCAAATTAAAAAAAAATTACCAGGGCTGTTCACAAATTTGTAAAAACTCAGGGGTGCAACTGCACCCCGGAGGCGAGTGTAAATCCACACTCGGGAGTTAGAACATTTGACTTTAGTGGACAGGCTAAATCACCTGTTAGCTCCTAACTTGAGGCTAGTGATACACTTTTTGCAAAAAAAGAGTCGTACACTGAAAATTGGGGTAAAAAAAATTTCGTGGTCATTTTTGTTGCATGTTCTGACAATTATTTATCCGATCTTTTATACGAGAATCTAACCCGTTAGCTGTGCTCTTCAGCTTGTGGGCTCCGTACTCCCACTCCTCCTTTGAAAATTAGTAATGGCTTCACGTGAGCATCTCGGATTCTTTCCTTCGAATCCACCAGAGGCATTTTATTTTTCTCTTTTATATTTCTCGGACAGCCATCGACTAGCTGTAAAAACTTAAGTTTGAAGCATTGTATTGTGAGGGGATAAGCTTGTTAAATCCTTAGTACTTGAGATTTCTCGTAGATTAAAACTGTACACTAAGTATGCACGTTGAAAACTTTAAGCTCAAGTACTAGATTGCCACATTTTGAAGGAATTAGCTACTCATTGACTCATAGTTGCAAAGCTTGATTTTACATTGTGGGGGAACAACGGACACTTAAAAAAAAAACTTCTTTTAAGTGTCTCATTCTTAAAAATAGAAAAGAAAAAGAAAAACAAATCTAAAACACCAGATTCATAAAAAAGACGTCAATAACTTTCAAAACGTTTATGAGCATTATGATCGCATTATCGATTAAAATTTGGTAATAATAATAGTAGTATGAGTTAAATTTTATCACATTATTGATATTTTTAGTTTTTGGGTAATATTAATGATTTCATATTAAATTTCTGCAATAACTAAATTATCAAATTGTTACTTATATAGGACTCGCTTTTCATTTTAATATTTTTATTGCTGCAAAAATTCAATAGTAATATCTGAATATTGCTAGAAAGACCAAATGCCAAACCATGGTGTAGTACTTAAAAATACCAATCGGTAATTTAGCCGAATAGTAAGTAAGCATCAGATGATTTTTCTCCAAAGGTTGTGAGAATTGCAATTGTTACCTTATTCCCATCAATGTTAAATAAATAAATTAGTAAAATAAGACTTTGATAGTAGCTCGTCTCTAGTTGTTACCATTAATTATGTAACTAATTATGAATATAGGTTACGACATTCAATTTATTTATGCCTTATGTAGTACTATCAAATCAAATAAATACGAGAATAATTGTGCGCGGCAGTTGTCTACATACGGTTGTAATAAACCCCCTCACATAAATACTAAAATTACGTTACGCCAATTAATTATCTACGAGGGGGTGCAACGTAAACCTCCAAATTGTTTTTGAAATTTAAAAATCAGCTCATAAATCGTCTCTCCTCTTACGGCGGCCACGTCAGCCTACGCGAGATCGAGCTCACTAGCGCTTTCTGCCGGCGCGAAGAGAGAGATGAGAGGAGAAGAGAGAGAGAGAGAGAGAGAAAACAAACTAAAAAAAATATCTATAAATCAAAAGGGAGCAGCAGAGAGAAGAGGGAGTAGCCCCAGCGTCAGTTTCAAGAACACTCTTTCTTTTTCCTTCAGCTGCCATTTCTAGAGAGAGAAAGTTTTGTAGAGGGAGAAAGCAATGAGAGGAGCACTCCGGTGAGGAAACCCCACACCTCCACCGCCGATCTGCTCACTTGGTCGGAAAACCCTCCCGCGCAGGCGGATCCGTCGGCGGCGGACTCGGCGTCGAGGAGGACGAACAAGGTCAGCTTAGCTTCCCTAGGATCTCCTTTTTTTTGGAACGAAAGCTCTCCCCCCTGATTTCTATTTTTGGAATGGAAATGGAACGAAAATGAAAAATGATTTTTCTTTTTTTTGGGTTTGTTTGTTTAGCCCGCGAGTGGGATCTCTCCGGTGATGTTTGGAGGCCAGATGAGCGAGGAGGAGGCGGAAAAAGTGATCAAAAGGTGAGAGATCTGGTGAAAATTTGGGGGTTTGTTTTGGGTTTTGATGCTTTTGTTATTGGATCCGTTCGCTTTATTTATGTCTTGATCTGAACAAGTTATTTAGGAGAGAGATAGTTTTATCTAACGTGAATTAGCTGTAGATTGAAAATTTGCGGTGTTTTTATTTTATTGATTTAGTGTATTTAGCGTCTAAATTTGTGATCAGCACATATAAACTCATAGTAATCACTGTTTTCATTTGGCATTCTTCTTATCAATCCTCTGGCAAAATGCAAAATTTATTGGGAATTATGTTCATCTTCAATTTTGGTGAAGTTTAGTTATTTTCCCCCACTTTAGAATAATTCTTCTGCAAGTCATTTGTTCATGAGCTTCTCTGCTTATAAGATTGACATTTTAATCGTTGTGTTAATACTTTGATGATAGTTCATCCACTGAAGTTGAAGAAGATGCCTTGTCATGAGGGCCACTGCATGTTTACACAATAAGCAATGCATGCATTTTTTGTGAATTTGGAGTGCTTTGAATCATTAGGGCAGAAATCACTTTGTAGAATACACGTGCATTTATCAGATTTGGGGTACCATGCATTAATCCTAATTTCTAGGAAGTGTTTTATGGAAAGTGTCTTCCAGTTGCTAGAATTTCAGAGGATTGGAAGAGTGAAAGATTTCATTGCTTTGTTGATGTGGATAAAGCATGTGCCTTGCAATTGTAGTGGTTAAGTTGTCATAATGTATAACGTTGATAACTGTAAAAATTAACTGTTAGTTGATTCTGTACTTCAATGAGTAATTGAACTAGATTTTTTTTGGTGATGTGAGATTCTACACCTTTTCTTTATTAAAAAATAATAATGAACCTCTTCGGAAAGGTTTTGTTATTTCTAGGAAACAAACTAATTTTCTTACAAACTTTTTTACAAGTTCTATTGTCTACTTTTGTGAGCAAAGTGTACTTTCCCATTTCAATATATTTGTATGGTTTGTGATTAATGAACCAAGAGAATGAATAAGTATACCAAGTGAATTTATTGCTCATTGATGGTAATACAATCTGGTGTGCTGCTTGTTCCCTTGACTTGAGGCATGTGAATGCAATGATGCAGGAAAAGGATTTGTGTCTTGGGAGATTACTTAAACTTTGTTTTATATGACGTATGTGCCGAACATTAGAGTGGTACATTGTATAGTTTAAACTTTATGTTGGAATAGATGAAGAAAATTGCATTTAGTAGGTGTGTAAACAGTCCTATAAGTTTTAAACCCTTCTTCATTGGTAAAGATGGGTTTCATTTAATTTTTTGTGTTCATGTATTTCTAGGAGCATAAATATTTGCATACATTTTCCTAAACAGCCTTTTGCATATTCTTTGCACAAAATAATGTTTGCCTTAATTCACTATTTAGTCTACTATATAAATAATCCCCTATGTGACGCAAAGCACATGCTCCAGAATTGAATATGTGCAGAAGTCTATTTTGATGGGGCATCAAGGTTATGTCGAGATATGACTCATGCTTCAGCAACCAAAAGATAGTTTAAAGCTGCCCTGAGACCATTGGGGGAAATGTCAGAGTCGAGTACCTAACTCTAATAAATTTAAGCAACTAACAAAACTTTACAGAATGGAAGAAAAGAAAAAAGAAAAAAGTGGAAATATGATCTACATAGCACAAGTTCAGCTCCTTGAGTCTTAGAGGGAAATGCCAACCAATTCTTGCTTCACACCTCAAGTTGTGTAAGAGCACCTTCATTTCAAGAGAAGGCATCATATGTGCAATGGTATAATACGATCGTATTACTCATTTTCCTGGAACTATCAGCGATAGAACTAAATCACAAGCATTCATTTACTTCCAGGGCTTAAAGTGCTAGACATATTTATGTGTATATGCAGTAGACTGGATCTCTTATACATTAGGAGGTTAGTCTCTCCCTAAAATCTTTTCTATTGGGAAGTTTTATGATTCATGATCGGATTACTGATCTAGCATAGATTCATAATCATAGCTGTCAGATATTCTGCTTTTAAAAACAAAGTTAACTACAATGTAAATAACATAAGATAAATATTACTGGTCTTACGGTGGGCGTGTTGTCACTGCCCTAAAGGATATATTCTGACCTTGTGCGGTCAGCCAAGGCAAGACACAAATGTCTAGGTGAGATGATCATGAGGTGTTTGCGAAACTTTAGGAGAGGGGACTGTTGGATATAGGAATCAAGTAAATGATTGAAATACCACTTATTACTAATTAATTCTATTATCTTTTAACTACTAATTTCTTATGGTGTTCTGTACTGACCAATCCATCTTTGTCCGAAATTAGTAATAATCATTGTCCTAAATTATTAATCTTTTAAATAGGGTAATAATTTCAAGAGTTGTATCTTCTTTATAAAATGGAAATTGAGATGACATGAAAAGAGAAAACTGATGGAAGAAAATAAGAGAAAAAGAAAGATCCCCTTCTCATTCCCTTCCCTCGAACTATAAACTATTCCCTTTGTTCTTGTTCTTCTTCCTCCTTTTATATATGTGGAGACTCCACTGTTAATGATAGGTTTAATAGTATAATTAATAAAATAACCATTATAATAATAAATTGGACATAATATCTAATAATCATAACCAATTAAATCATGATTTTATTGCATTATTTATGATCCAAATAATATGAATGAATAAAAGATAATAAATGAGGAGAAAAAACATATAAAGAATTAATAAGAGAAAGCTCAATCTTTTTCAATCCGTTTTTCCAGCAATAACAAAGATTTGAAATTAACCATCTTTTGGATCCATCCTTCTCTCTGGCATAACAACAGAGGTCATTAGTCTTTTCTCTTCCTTGGAAGACATCAAAATTGCATGCATTCACTTTTATAACCTAGAGAGATTCAAGGGTAGGTAGATTTTGGAGTACTTGTGCAGCAGGAACTTTTACCCATTAGAACTTAGTAGTTCCTAATTTATTTGTTGGGTGTGATTTAGGATCTGTTATATCAGAAATGCAAAAGTAAAAACTACTAAGCAACTAACAGCCAGAGTTTGTCCCCCAGGTATTTACCTGTCTTAGTGTATTCGGCTGCTTCGGGTCACTATGTAGTCAGAGTGCATGCATGTTGAGTAATTTGAGTTGCTATAGATATATTGGTTAGACAAGGGGATTCTTTGGGTTATTGGTGTCTTTATGTCCATATCCTGGAAGGAAAGAAGATAAGAGAAAATGCAAGTAGAAGAGAGGTGCCAATAAAGAAAAGGTGCCTGGAAACAACTAGCTAGCTAGAGAATAAGTGAAGCACATGAAGGCATCCATAAATAAAATGAGAACCTCATGGAGTCATACGAAGGGCCACGTAATGTGGATTTGATACACCTGAATCAAGAAGGTTATCAGATTCTCAGTAGGTGTTAGGGGCTCTGGTGAACAGTCATATAATTTGTTTAATGTTTATAAGAAACACATTTAACAATAGAGATTCTTCTGATTTCTTCCTTTGCATATAGATTTTGACTACATGCAGCTTTTTTGCATCTAAATTTTGAAAACCTGAAAGAGCCCATTTGTATAATTATATATAACTAATAGTTATATATTGTTTTTAGAGAGAATAAGTAGCTATATATTGTTGTTATCTAAGAAAATGCGGATATAGATGACATGGACATGGAAAAAACATACAGATAGAATTGTAAACGAATCCAAGAAGATCTGCCGCTTCTAGAAGATTCGTGTTGTTATTTTCTAGGATTATACTTCTTAAATGAATTCTTTATCAAGACCATCAAAACTTGAATAGGTGCTGCTAAACTACTGAAGCTGTTGAAATAAAAATCATACCACTGAAGGTGAATCTTTTGTTCTTTGATAGCGGTTTATAGAATTGTTGCCATTTCTCTCTAGAATAAATTCACCTCTAGTGGATGATATTAAAACAAAAGTTACATAGTGTGCGGTAAGCAGCGGGTCATGGTACGAATTCAGATATGCAATTTGCCACTTAGAAAATTTAGATTCGATGAAGGGTAGCTTGGTTCGGTACGCAAGTTCGATAGTGGTATGCTGTAAATTATTTTTGGGTCGCTTAAAGTTTTTTAGTGGAAAACTAGAAACTAGAAAGCTAATTATGCATTTTAAAATTTTTTCATACAAAATATTTAGATACTTCTATTTTGTGGATTTCGTTTCTTTGTTCTTTTCTTTTACATAGTTCATGTTGGGATATGGTTTCATTTCACATTTTATTGACATACGTATTTAGTTATAATAAAGTCATTGGCTCATATTCTATTATGCGTCTCCCTTCACTAGGTTCCACATATTGCATTGCGACTTTCGCATGTGCGCAGGGACTTTGTGCCTCGTATATTTCTAAGTGGTAGGTCAATTTTGGGGAACTAATTCGTGTACCAGAAGTTGGGGTGAGCATAAGGTCGGTTCAATCAGTTTTGATCAATTTTTTATGAAACCAAACCGAACTGACAAGAAACACTGAGCTGAGCCGAATAGAACTGAACTGATCAATTCGAATGATTCAATCGGTTTTGTTTGGAAATTTTCCTCTCTATATTCGATGTTATTAGTGGGAGACATGTTAATTTAAATTGGGAAATGCAAGGGTCACGTGGGTGGGCCTACTGTGTGAGCATGTGAAAAAGAAAGGAGCTTATAAGTTACGGTTTATTATCAAATCTCTATACACTTATGTTCGGTTAGTTTGGTTATTACGGGTTGAAATTATTTCAACCCAATCAGACCCGACCAAAAAATAACTCAACACACTGAACTGCGAGCTTGTTGGTGGGATGCAAACCTTGGGACTTACTGAGTGCAACACGTGGTTGGCAGTGGATGGAGCCAGGCCTTGTGTTGCACTCAGTGGGTCCCAAGGCTCACATCGTGCCCATGGGCCGGTGGGCCTGGGGTGACCAAAATATGAAGTTTCTAAAACAGGCCATGATAAATATGTGAACTGTGATGCTGTTTCACTTTATTTCCCATGTGATCTCAAATATTTCATAAACTTTGTCATCTTGGTACACCGAGCCAATTGCAACATCTTTTGAAGTCCTTTAACATGTAGACAGCTGCTGTTCTAACAAAGCATAATTTTGTTAGGTCTGAATGCATTCTTTCCAGATATAAATATTTTAGGAGATCCCTTTCAGTTTTATTAATAATCAAGCAATTAACCCACCAGAGTAGAGTTCTGTTCGTGGAGTAGAACACTGGTCCAAGTAGCCTTTTCCATGGTTGCGAGTGGTCAAGCAATTGAACTGAAAGAAGGATATCAGCAATAGATATTGGGTTGACATATTCAGTGAAGACCTCATTGAAGAATCAGCTTGAAATGCCTTAAAACATCTTGATCTTATTATATTTGAAGCATGCATATGTTCAGCTCATTAGAGCTGTTGTGAACTCTGTATTAGTCTTATTGTTATTCATGAAGTGCTTATAAACATAATTGTTAATTATTTGGAATATGCATATAAGTCAAGTGGGCAGGTCTTTTGCGGCTGTACTCTGGAGATAAATGTTCAGTGCAATTTTCACAGGGGCCTAAAAGCTTTACTTTTTTTTTTGGTTTTGACAAGTCTCAAAAGGCCTAATTAGAGGGTACTTTGATAAGCTCATTAATTGAAAGCTCTCTCTCTCTCTGTTGTTACATATATATCTTGTTACTTGAATTTTTATTCCTAATGGAATTGATATTTTAATTTTCACAGTTTCACCTACTATGTTAATGCTTTTCGCCTTATTATTACTCTTCGGGCGCGATTGTGTGTTTTATAGGTACTAAACTTATTTTGTTTCATAGTTCAAACTTGTATCATAAATGCTGCTTGTTCTACTGATATGTAAGGAGGTTAAATTTCTACTCAACTGAAATTTTGCAGTAAAAAAGACACAATTTATGTCTTTAACTTAAAAAAAGACCATATTGACTGCTATATTGTTGATGATTGGATGTAGATTTAGTTTTCCCTCATGTATTAAATCTATTCTTTTGCTGCCTCCAGCTCGATGAAACCTTGTTCAGGTTATAAGTTAAGGGAGATAACTGGCAGTGGTATCTTTGCTCCTGGCAGTGAAAATGGTGCATCAGAAACTGGCAGTGCTGCTGCAAATCCTAATAACAAGACAGGTTTACGTATTTACCAGGTAGACTAGATTAAATATGACTTTAATAGAAGTTGATGAGTTTTAATTCAGTTTTTTTTAGGAATGTTCTATTCTTATCCTAATATCAACTGCTATACTGACAAATCTTGTAGCAACACTGAAATATCCTGACATTTCACCATTATCTTTACATTCAAACAAGACAAATGATAAAATTTGGATGTTCTTAAATAAAAATTATGGCAGCAAAATTTCAGCTGTACAAATAAGTCAGAAATTGAATGACATATTAAGGAACAATTTCCTGTCATGGTTAAGTAGAGAAGACAATTGTAAGAGTTTGAGTGAAAGTTAACCCATTGTATAGTATGTACTTTGCAAAATAATTGCACTGCAGAATTTTAATTGTTGGACAGTGTTTTCCATCTCTCTCCAGTAAAGTGCTCTTTACTAGTATTTGAGTTACCATGGCAGCAAGTGGAAAAAATGCCGTGCATTTACATGATCTTTTGGTTGCTATTTTGTGTATCTACTAGTATGGATTCAGCAACTGCTACATTCTGTTCGATTTTGATACCACTTAAAGTTTTTTCCCCATATTATTTTGTGTTTGTGTGGGACTGAAGCAGCTTTTGTATATGCTCATCAGCAAGCAGTTAGTGGAATAAGCCAGATCTCATTCAGTGCTGATGAGAGCGTTTCACCCAAAAAACCTACCACACTGACAGAGGTGGCAAAGCAGCGAGAATTAAGTGGGACTCTGGAAAGTGAAGCAGAGGCTAAGATGAAAAAACAGCTATCAGAAGCAAAGTGCAAAGAGCTTAGCGGGCATGACATCTTCGGTCCTCCTCCTGAGGTGCCACCCAGGCCATTGGCGGCTCGGAATTTGGAGTTAAAGGGACAGCTGGACTTTGGAGAACCTGCTCGAAGCGTACACACGTCTGTAAAAGTTTCCAATGTGAGTAAGTTGATGGATAAAGTTCATTTAATTTATATAGTTGTTTTAAAGTCAGGGTCTTTATGCAGTATCTTGCTTTTTCTCGTAGAACTAATTTATATTAACTGTCTTAAATTTATGTTTGTTTTCTCTTGCCACAACAGTTGTACAAATGCATTAATTACTTGTGAGAGAGTCTTTTCATAAAGTATTTTAAAGCAAAAAGACATGAATTACATATGTATAAGATGGAAACTTGGTCAGTGGCGGACTCAATATATCTGGAAAGTGGTGTCAATACACAATTAACAATTGAAATAATTTACAATTGTCTTCACTGAGTTTTCATATTTTGAAAGAAAAAAAACTACGTAATCGCATCATTAATAACACTATTAAATACGTTGTTCTCAATATATGTTGCTAGGCTTCAAACATATCGTCCTCAATTTGTGTTTCTAATCCTGGGTTCCCTGGTTCAGGCCTTGAATTGTAGGATGTATTTTTTAGTGTGTAAATTTTAGAAAAAAGCCCTCAAACCCCCTTCAGTACTCAACATCTTCCAAAAAACCCCCTGACAGCGCCAACCGCTAATTTTACATTGATGAGTAAAATTAAACTAAAAAGTATTTTTCGTCGATGAAAATGTGGTTCACGCTTTTTGGAGGTTTTTTTGGGGAAAACAATGAAAGTTGAAGGGTGTTTTCTAAGAAAATCCTAACTTAAGAAGGGTTTTGTGAAACTCTTTCTAGCTGTGAGTCTTGTGAATTCACATGACCCCACTTTAGTCATGTTGGACTGACCACTGAACGTGGTTGTTTGAACACACACACAAACATGCATTGTACGCATGCACATTGACACAGCACATGAAGCGTATATGAGATGGGAAATCCATTTATCGAGGTTAATTATATTACCTATCCATGAATTATTTGTAAGCTAGGATGTGTTCTGCAGCCCACACCATACTAGACGTGGGAGTACTCACACAAGTATCTATAAGATAGAAAACCAATTTGTTTGAAGGCAATAATATTGCTTATAGTTGAGGTAGTTATAAAGATAGACTTATCCATCAGCCTAAAAACATCAACACTCATTTGCATCATGGGTTAGCTACTTAATAGTTGTTTTAAGATAGAAAATCCAGTTGTTTGATCTCACATGCACACGCATTTATAAAATACATAGTTCTTTGAACACACTTAATAGTTGTTGGCATGTTGAGCACATGCGCATACATTTATAAAGTAGGAAACCTAGTTGTTTGCAGATAACAGGTGCAGGCACATGCGGGGATGCACATACGATACCCGTCAAGTATTCATAAGACAGTATTTTTATCACACAAAACACTGAATTAAGTATTTAGAAGATAGGAAATCCATCTGTTACAATAGCTCTTATGCCTAAGGATTTGAGTTTTTCTACGACCTAATACCTTGGCACATGATGACGCATGAAGTATTTACAAGATAGGAAATATTATAATGAAAAAGTTGCGTCAACTGGTTATAAGATGGAGTTTATTCTACAGACTTCTTGTTAACACTGTCCATACTGAGAACATCCTCTTATAGAGTTGAATGGATGAAAGAAGCATTCATAGGGTTGAATCTTATAAATCGATTATCAACTATGTAGATACTGGAGGATTTGACCTTCCTTTTCAATTATTTTCTCCTCTTGTAATGCAATTACCTCACTATTTGATTATTTTCCTCATTCCTTTCCCCCCTTTTCGCTTTAAAGCCTTCTGGTGGCCCGAGCAACATCAACTTTGGGGAGGAACCTGAAATGAAGACTGCGAAGAAGATTCACAACCAGAAGTTTCAAGAGCTGACGGGCAACAACATCTTCAAAGGTGACACTCCACCCGGGTCAGCTGAGAAGCCGCTGAGCGTTGCTAAGCTGAGGGAGATGAGTGGCAGCAATATATTTGCTGATGGCAAGGCTTCTAATAGAGACTACTATGGTGGGGTCCGCAAGCCTCCTGGTGGCGAGAGCAACATTGCCCTAGTTTGATTGTCATCCTTCTCTCCTAACCCTAGTTTCTCTTAGAGGTGTCTCTCTTCCACGTGGTTATCATCGGATTTCTGAGGACTGATACTTTCATCCACCCGGGTCAGCTGAGAAGCCGCTGAGCGTTGCTAAGCTGAGGGAGATGAGTGGCAGCAATATATTTGCTGATGGCAAGGCTTCTAATAGAGACTACTATGGTGGGGTCCGCAAGCCTCCTGGTGGCGAGAGCAACATTGCCCTAGTTTGATTGTCATCCTTCTCTCCTAACCCTAGTTTCTCTTAGAGGTGTCTCTCTTCCACGTGGTTATCATCGGATTTCTGAGGACTGATACTTTCATCTGGACCCTGATTTTAAGTGTTCTTGTGTCTTTCCAACATATGGATGAGTTGATGAGAACCTGTTATTATGTAATATGTTGTTATCTATGTGTATGTAGACAAGTAGACTGTAGTTTGGGAACAAATCTGATCCTTTGTTGTGGGTGCTAGGTGATATGAACTTGGTTCTATTTTAAGAGCATTTGCAACAAGCTATCACCCACCTCCTAAGGCTGAGGTGGTGGTGGGAGCTTGTTGCAGATGCTCCAGCAAGCTCCCAAGCTCCTAAGGTTGATCCTTTGGCTGGCGTGTCACGCAGCCTAGGGAGGGGTGCCAAGGAGCTCCCAAGCGCTCCACAAATTTGTGGAGCATTTGGGAGCTCCCAACCATTAATTTTTTTTTATTACAAAAAACCCTCTACCTTTCCTTACCTTTGAGCCTAGTTTGAGAAATTAGCTGTTGAGATTTTTCAAACCTGACATGAACAGTAACGTAGTCGTTGAAATTTATCAAACCTAACATGAACAGTAAATTAGTCGTTGAGATTTTTTACACCTGACATGAACAGTAAATTAGCCGTTGAGATTTAAAAAAATTGGCATGAACGGTAAAAAATTTCTATAAATACTCATTTTACTACACAAAACATTTCACACAATTCTCTCATAAAAAACTTTATATTTTCCTATCAAATTACAAATCTTATGGATCCCTCCCAAAACTTTTATTCGCAACTTCTTATCGGTGAATGATCGGTCTTATACCCGTCGTTCTACACAGACGTCATAGAAGAAGGTCACCCTCATCCATGAGTTCTCGCAATCGGCAACACAACAAGTGTTATCCTAAGAAATACCGACCATAAAGAAGAAGAAGGTTTACACGCGGTCCGAAAATTAGACTGTCTACGAGGATAAGCTTCTTGTGTCTGCTTGGCTGAACACGAGCTAAGACGTCATCCAAGGTACATGGCAACACAAAGATAAGTTTTTGCACAGAGCTAACGATTACTTTATCCAATACTCCACCGATCTAACGAGCCACACACCAAACCAAATGATGCATCGTTGGTCAACGATTCAACTATCCGTCAACAAGTTCTGCGGGTGCGTTGCTCAGATTGAAGGAAGACAAAGATCTGGTACGAGAATTATTGACTAGGTAAATATTTAACTTATAAACACCTATGGGCTCCTCCTGTGCACGTTTGTCTTCTTCATCGTTCTCTTCAATCGTCATACGTTTAATTATTCTAAATTTAACTCCTGTGTAGACTGCAGAAGTAAAAGAATTATAGCAAGGTCTGAAGGGAGGAAAACGACAAAGCTCAAGAGGAAACAAAATGTGGAAAACTCGGAGTCCGCTAAGTCCATCATGGGAGAGGCTTTCGCGTGGATGAAGCAAACCACCAATAAAAAAATGGAGCTAAAACAAAAGAAATAAGATGACGATATCATGAAGATGAATCTCTCAACACTCAATTCAGTTCAACAACAATAGTTTGAAATGCGTCAGTCAGAGATATTGGAGAGGTGGATGTTTAAGGGTTCTTCTGAATTATCATATATTATCTTGTATTAAATTTATGATTGTATTAGCAGTTAAAAAATTTGGCATTGAATGAATATAACCTATGAAGCACGGACACGGACACGGCGACACGGACACGACATAGTACAAATTAGAACTAACATGGTACAAATTAAAATTAATATGTCATAAATTAGAACTAACATGGTACAAATTAGAACAAACATGACATAAATTAAAACTAACATGGTACAAATTAGAACTAACATAATACAAATTAGATCTAACATGTCATAAATTAGAACTAACATGGTACAAATTAGAACTAACATGAACTAACATGGTACAAATTAGAACTAATATGCCATAAATTAGAACCAACACGGTACAAATTAGAACTAACATGACATAAATTAGAACTAACGTGTCAGGGCGTTGACGCGAGTCGGCGGTGTTGACCGCGTGTCCGACGCGTGTCGAACGCGTGTCCGCCGCGTGTCCGCGTCCGACGCGCGTCGGAGACGGACTCGGGGGCAGTTTTGAATGAAAACAACTACTTTATTGAAAATGAAATTGGCGTAGTACAACAACTTGAACTCCTTCGCCGAAATTACATTAGACATAAAGAAACTTAATCCTCGGCTATGGATCCCTTGAGCTGCCACAGATGCTCAATCAAATCATTCTTTAATGATTTGTTTGTTTGCGTGTTTCTTGATCCGATGATGATTTTGGATGAACTCAGTTAGAGGCACCGTCCGCACATGAGAAGGTTCAACGACTGGTATCGAATCAACAAAATCGAAGTTATTGTCAAATTGACAATCTCGTTCATCTTCAACGATCATGTTATGCATTATGATGCAAGCTGTCATGATGTCTTTCAGCACACTATGTTGCCAGAAACGTGCTGGTCCACAAACAATCGCAAATTGAGCTTGCAAACACACCAAAAGCTTGCTCGACATCTTTTCTTGCTATCTCTTGTTGTTGAGCAAAGTACTTATTCTTTTTTCCTCGAGGTGTTGGAATAGTCTTCACTAATGTGGACCGCTCTGGGTAAATCCCGTCAGCGAGATAGTATCACATATTATACTCATGGCCATTGATAGTATAGTTGCATGGTGAAGCTCTTCCCTCTGCAAGCTGTGCGATAACTGGTGAATGATATAGAACATTGATGTCATTGTGAGACCCTGACAGTCCAAAGAAGGCATGCCATATCCAAATATCTTTGCTAGCTACAGCCTCCAAAATAATTGTAGGTTCATGAAAATACCCAGTATATACATACCATGTGAGGCGGTTGGACAGTTCTTCCATGTCCATTGCATGCAGTCGATGCTCCCAAGCATACTAGGAAAACCTTGTTGTGAACCTTCCTCAAGCAGGCGTGCAACGTCTTCATTAGTCGGTGAACGAAGGTATTCCACCCCAAAGAGGTCGATAATCGATCGAACGAACCTCTTCAGGCTCTCAATCGACGTACTTTCACTAATCCGAATATAGCGTCAACGGAGTCAGCGGATGCTCCATATGCGAGCATTCGCATAGCTGTAGTAATATTTTGAAGGCTAGATAGTCCCAACTGTCTAGCACCATTTCTCTCTTGGACGAAGTACTCGTCATGTTTGACGACCATGTTGTGGATTCGAAGGAATAACAAACGCGACATTCTGAATCTTCGACGAAAATAATGAAGAGGATATGTTAGTGTGTCTGCAAAATAATATTGGAACAACCGATTGTGGCCTTCTAGTCGGTTTCGATGGAGCACGATATGTCTTTTGTGTTGACGTACATTTCTAACTTTCTCTTGTTTTTCTTCCTCGACAACAACAGCTCCCATAAGAAAGAACGTATTCATCATTTCATCATCGCTTGAGCTAGATGAGCTAGACATTTTGTTGTGGGAGATGATGGGTTGAGGTGTTCATCATTTCATCATCGCTTGAGCTAGATGAGCTAGACATTTTGTTGTGGGAGATGATGGGTTGAGGTGAGAAGGCGTCGAATTTTATGAGCTAGATGAGCTAGACATTTTGTTGTGGGAGATGATGGGTTGAGGTGAGAAGGCGTCGAATTTTATGGGAATCAGTCGGTTGACGGTCAAAGTGCGCGATACCTTGAACTTCGGGCCCAATGAATAGGAATCTGTCAGTTGTTAGTGAAAGTGCATGCTCCCTCAAAGAACTTGTCCAACGGATATGAATCTGTCGGTTGTCGGTGGAAATATAGGCAATCTCAAAGAACGTGGGTTACCTCGAAGACCGTGCCCAGTGGATAGGATTATGTTGGTTATCGATGAAAGTGCGCGCTCCCTCGAAGACCGTGTCCAACGGTTAGGAATCAAATAAAAGAGATTTAAATATAATTGAAAGTAATGAGTAACAAAAATAAAATAGAAGAGGGTTTTTTTTTTTGATATTGTTGAAGCTCCTAGGAGCTTGTTGGAGATCAACATTAGTTAGGAGGGTGATGTGGCATTGAAAATGGTGGGCCATGGTCTTGAGAGAGCTTGGGAGCTCTCCAACAAGGACTCCCAACTAGGAGCTTATTGGAGATGCTCTAATGGTTGTTGGCTCTCAACTGGTACTCAGAAAATGTCCAATTTGGCCTGCTATGTCAACTTGATTGAACATTATTCTGATGTTTGTGCAGTTGCTGCCTTGGTACCAGCCAACCCTTTGGCGAATCATGGATTAGATTTGGAAGAAAACTGCAATGTCAAATATGGTAGAATGCAATCTTATCATTACACCCATCTGATGTTTTGAACCATAAAAAGAGAAGTTCAAATCTTTTAGTTGTCTCCCCTATCCGGCTATCCTCTCTCTCTTTGATTGCTCAGCTCGCCCTACGTTTTGTTCGGTTTAAATTTGCACTCTCGGTAGGTCTTGGAGTTGGGTGTGTGGAAGAATTATCGTAGGCAATTTTTAGTGTAATTAAAATAAGTGACTAATACTGCTCCTTGCGGTATTTTCCTATTCATTAATACATACTATTTTTTTTCACACAAGCAAATACACTTAACGTACAAAATGAAAATATAGTAGAGTTTTATAAACCAATGTTCACCGTTTCAAAGTTTCAATGTATAATGAGATTTTACTATGTTCACTTATTTAATAGTTCCTGATTTGATAGCCGAGCTCTTTTATTTTCAAGTCTTAACGTTCAATGGAAAAAATGTACATACCTAAGAGAGTCTAGCCGAGTTGATAAATTATCTATGAGTAGTACTTCAAGATTTTAGGTTTGACTCTTTTAAAGAACACCCATTTGGATTTAATTTCTTAAAATACTCAAGACCGTATGTTAGAAGATGCCGTTTAGCTATACCCGGGGGTTTGAAAAACCTGTGAACGGATGCGTTTTGAAGTGGGAGGTGGGCCAGACCCACGTGAATGACGTGAACGTGCAGAACCAAGTGATGCGGTTCCGTGTGAACGCAGGTGGGGACCACGAGCCGGACGAATTAAACCCTCCTATAAATAACAACTTGATTCTTCTCCTAGGGTTTGGTGCTGGAGGTTTATTTGTTTTGGTTTTCTTTTGGCGGCTGTTGCAGAAGCAAAGTGCAAGGCTGGAGTCTTTTGTGGGCGGCTACGAATTGAGGCAGAGGACCGGATCTTGAGGA